AGTTTGAAGTTCTTATTGGATCAATCAGTCCTATCCCCGGAACAACAACGATGGATATCCAAGCTACTGGGGTACGACTACATAATTGAGTACAAAGCAGGGGCTGCTAACTAGGTGGCTGACGCCCTCTCACGGCACCCACAATCATTTCAGTTACTAGTATCTTCCCCAACTTCTCCACTCCTGGATCTACTTCGAAAAGAAGCCCAATCCCATAGGGAGTTACAGCAGTTGAAGGCCCAAGTATTGGCAAATCCCTCACTGCACCCCGGGTACACCATTAAGAATGATCTACTCTTCTTCAAAAGACGCCTGGAAATTCCGGAAAATTCTGCTCATCTTAGGAAGCTCCTGGAATTATTCCATGCCTCACCCACAGGTGGCCACTCCGGCATCCTACGAACACAAAAACGCATCGCCACACAATTCCATTGGAAAGGCATGCGTACATCTATCCAGAACTTCATAGTCGAGTGTGTAGTATGCCAACAAAACAAGTCGGCCACTACAACACCAGCAGGACTCTTGCAACCACTCAAAATACCAACCCAAGTCTGGGATGATATATCAATGGATTTCATCACAGGATTGCCCGTTTCTGCTGGCAAAACAGTTATCCTTGTGGTAGTGGAATTGTTCCTCCGGAAAATTGTGCGCCTACATGGGCTCCCCAGCTCAATTGTATCAAACAGGGACCCTATTTTTATGAGTCGTTTCTGGACTGAGCTTTTTCGCCTGCACGGGGTTAAACTCTTCAAGTCAACTAGCTACCACCCCCAATCTGATGGATAGACAGGTGGTTAACAAGAATCTCGAAACATATCTGAGATGCTTCACGGGAGATCGACCAAGACAATGGGTGAAGTGGATCCACTAGGCTGAATGGTGGTACAACACCACTTTCCATAGCGCCGCTGGGATGACACCCTCCAGAGCTCTATATGGTCGGGACCCTCCCCCTCTACTTCCTTATGAAAAAGGGACCACCACAGTAGCGGCCTTAGAAGAACAGTTAACACAACGAGATGAGGTGTTAAAGGAACTGAGACATCATCTCTTACAAGCACAACAATGGATGATGCACACCTACGATAAACATCACAAGAATGTCCAATATGAAGTCAGTGATTGGGTGTTTCTCAAATTACAACCTTTCAGACAGATTTCAGTTGCAAGCCGACAGTGGAACAAACTCAGCCCATGCTATTTTGGACCATTTAAAATCCTTGAGAGAATAGGGTCAGTGGCCTACAAGCTGGACCTTCCGGCAACATCAAAACTGCACCTTGTATTCCATATCTCTTTACTGAAGAAAGGGCCGAAGTCAGGAGTCATTACAAGTGCGACCATTCCCACATTTTCAGAGGAAGGACAAGTGCAGACTGAGCCAGCCCGCATCATTGATTTCAGATGGGTGCGCCGGGGTGGAAGAGTCATACCAGAAGCATTAGTTATTTGGTCTAAACTCCCAAAAGAGGATGCAACCTAGGAATCCTACTTAGATCTGCAATCAAATTTTCCCACATTAGACCTTGAGGGCAAGGTCACTCTAAAGGAGGGGGGATTGTAAAGACTACTGGAACAGACCAACGGAAAGCAGTTAATCAGTTTTACAAGAGGAGGCCACGTCAGCACAACTAATCGTCCACTTGCAACAACTGTAACAGAAAGAAGTCAAACATTGTAAACAGTATAAGTAGTGAAGCACAAAGAAAAATAAGACAGTAATTCTTTCGGCAGTAATCTCTCTCTCTCTCTCTCTCTCCTTCCAACGAATTCAGGAGGTTGGCTCCCTCGAAGAGCCCTGAGTTAGGCGAGTTCCTAACAGACGTTGCGTCAAAGTCTACCTAGGTGGAGCGACCTGATAAAACAGTCACACAGAACCCCCTCTTGATGATGGCATGATAAACTTCGCTCTTGAGGTAATGGTCGGATTGCAGAACCCCTTGACGGTTCCATCCCTTATAAGGTAGATGTCCTCGGGGTACCTGCTCCACCTCTCCTCGAGCGGATGAATTCGCTCTCGTGCCCCGATAATCAAGACGGCGAGGTCCTGCGTAAGGCTGCAAACACTTGGACTCTTCTGACCTGAGAACCAAATTGGACCAATTCTTATGACTACAAGCTTATCGAATCAGTCATTCTGGGCCAAAAGGAGCGATCTACTCCCTTCGCTGAGCTACTTTCAGCTCGGGAGTGGGGGGCAATTGATGAGGTCGGGTTTGGCCCTCCAATGACATTGTGACACATGGCATATCGAAACAGCTAGACGACACCAAGACGCGACCTAGGCGATTATTTGGAGTCCCAGATCATAGTTCGTCTTCGCCCCAACCTGGCGACCTGCCTTTACTGCCAACCTAGCGACTTCAACCACAACTTAGGTCCGCTAGGAGCACCTCGTCTAGGGCCGACCTGTCCTCGTCACTGCCCGATGTGACCTCGACGCGAGGAGCGACCTCCCTCGAGGGCTTGTTGACCTAACTGAGGTCCAGGAGGCAACTTGCGAGTTGTGCTCGCTGACAAATTTGGTATGCATATCCCAACACTCCCAAATTTCTCGGAAGTTGGCCCACGTACTGAGTGTTCTGGAGGATGGCCAACGTGCGTGGCGGTTACCTCCGGGGATCTCGGACCGGTTAGGCGACCTCCCGGAAATCTTGGATGCGGTGCGTGAAGCCCACGCCAAACAAAGCCTATATAAAGGAACCAACCCCAATGACACTGTAGGTGTTCAAGACTGCTATCAGTCTTGATCACTAAGAAACTTCAGGTTCGAAAAGAAGAGAAAGTGAAGAAGAGGAGAAAGAGTAGTGAGAGAGCAGTAGAACACAGGCTTTGAAAGGAAGSACAGAATCTCAATGTTCTGCCGCCGCCACTTCAATTTAATATTTATATGTTATGCTAGTTACATGAAAGGACACATCTGCCCTTGGTGTTTACATCATAACACAACAATATAAAATTGAAAAGTAAATAACAACTAGAATAACAAAATAACAGATTGACCATCAGCTACGATTAGATACATTCTACCCTACGGACAGAGTGGGACCACAGCTGTGGGGCCCACATCAGTGTTCTCTACAGACACGAAAAGGCATGTGCGGTTTAGTGCATTCTAGCTCTCCTTTTCTCAAACTCTCAGCTCGCATATACTATTACTGACTTAAGCATCGGAGCAACCTCGTCGGGTTAGCCACTCTGAGCTCTCTGATACCTCCATTTCTTTGCAATTTGAGCGACCTACTTGGCAACAGGCGTCCGAGCTGCCCTACAACTAGGAGCATCCAGATCGCGCACCATCAGTTGGGATGCAAAGGTGGCCAATTCCTCAACATCGAGCTCTCCTTGGAAAACAATACAAGAGGTATATCCAACCTTTATCAATCTAACCAGGTTTGATGTGGGATGTGGACCAAGGGTACTCTTTTGTGAAGACCTTTGGTTGGCCAAAACTCCTTTCAATTCTCTTTACACTGACCTTTATTCAATGTCTAACTACAAATTTCAACCCATCTCACATTTTGTTTCCTTTAGGTGAAGTGGTGAACACCTATACCATGCTTCAAAAGAGAAGCCAAATAAATGCCTCTCCCCTCATGTGTGCTTTCTTTGTTTTGCAAGTGGTGAATCCTACCTCATTTACTCCTTTATTATCTTGTTGTGTAGTTGTGGTCTTTGTCTAGGGGTCTTTTTGCTCTCTCTTTGGTTGCAGGTGGATTACTCCTTGAGATGTAGTGGGTCTCTTCAACTCAAATTTCGTAAGGCAACCAACGAAAAGAGGAATATTTATGTGGAAAACGGTTACCGCAACAGTGGTGTTGACTGTTTGGGAGGAAAGAAACGCAAGGATCTTCAATGAGAAGCACATGTCATAAGAAGAAATCGTGTAAACTGTAAAGATAAAAATTGCACAATGGATAAAAACACTAGAGCTCTTCCAAACTTTTCAATGACTAACATAATAAGTGCGTGGAATGAAGTGGCACACTCTTCTAAAGAAAAAGAAGAAAAGGTGATGGAATGGAAGTCCCCAAATAGCAATAAAATCAAGCTGAACTTTGATGGCAGATCTTTAGGAAACCTGAGACTGGCAGGCATTGGTGGTGTTTTTAGAGATTCCTAAAGCAAAGTGATGGCAATGTATTCAGGACCTTTAGGGGTAGGAGATTCTCTAAAGGCTGAGCTTTTAGTGTTGATACAAGGTCTAAAACTTGCTAAGCAAGCAAACCTAAACAACTTGGAGGTCGAAGGGGATTCAAAACTGGTCATCTCTTGGACTAGCACAAGGGTAATGTTCCTTGGATTTGCATTTTATAGACATACCTTGAGGGAAATAGAAAGTCTGACAAGGGAACTCAATGCCACTTTTACTTGGATTAGAAGGATTACAAATGGGATAGCTGATTCATTCGCCAAGCAGGGGGGTTATAGGCAGCAGTTGTTTTGGGTGTTATTGTAGTCTCTTTTTTGGGCTTGATTGATAACTTGTGATTTATTGTGATTCTGTAACTTGTTTTCTCATATATTAATAAAATTAATCCTTCCTTGCCGATCAAAAAAACGGAAAATAATTGTCATATATAAGTAAGAGAAGATGGCTAAAGACCAAAAGGGAGACAAAGAGAAACATACCTATTACAGTCTCTTAATTTTTCCTATTTGATTTATATAGTTCTTTGCTATGGTTTTGAACCTTAAATGTACAATTGTAATTCTTCTAATGATCTCTCGAAGGTTTATTAACTAATTCTATGTTTCTAGGAAACTTTCCTATCTTTTAGATTTTCCAAATATCTTAGTGAAATTAGCAAATTATCTCCAAAATTTCTCCCAACTCTTCATGACAAGATGTCCATTGATATTGAAATCATGAAACATGGTTCCATCAATATAAAGTCCAAAACTGGGGAAACAAGACAGCAATTATGATGCTAAGTCACAAGGAGGATAAATGAGCAATAATATCTGTAGTTAAATATAGGGCTAACCTTCGCCACAAGCTTTGCACTCAATCTTGAATATAGGGAATCCTGGACACTCTTCAATGATTTTAATGTTGTGTTATACTCATTTAATCTGCAAAAAGGAGAAAAATACAACATAATCAATTGTTGCTGACAAAGAGATATTGCCAATAGCACAATGGAACAAACATTATTATGTATAAGAGAAGATAACAACAAAGCATTAGTAGAAATTAAGTAATTAAGAATCTGGTTAGTACTTGAGAAAATGCAAAATCATAAAGGCATTATCTAGTAAGTTTTTTTTATTCCTAATTTCATCTGCTTCTCTTTTGTGTAATTACAATAACAATTACAAGCAATTACACAGCTGTAAAGTTCAAAATCTTATTTAATACGTGAATTTAAAAAAAAAAAAAATCTTATTCAACATTAAGTTGCCATGGAAAACCATAGTTCAATGAACAGTTGCTAAGTGGGTATCTAACAATGAAAACACAGGCAAAATTCTTATCCTTTAAATTCAGCTTCTAAGTTAATAAACCCGATAGTTTAAATCGTTCAAAAATATAAAATAAACGAGTTGAGAAATCTTACCTATAGTTGACGCAGACAGCACATATAGACGCGAGATTGGAGTTTTCGCATATAGCACATTTACTGGCTTTTCTGGTCATCGTCTGGTTTTGAACAACAAAACAAATCGGCACAACTTCCTCGAAACCTGGACACACAAATCCATAAAAAATCCAAAGGAATTAAAAAGAAGGAAACAGTATAGGGCATACTAAACCAAAAAGAACATAAAAATTTTATCTGAAACAATGCAACTCAATCCATCAAATGTTAAAAAATGGTAAGGAATTACTAAAACGAAATATCTTGCCATAAGAACTAACCCACCTTAATTCATATATTGGTTCCAACTGTAGACAACTCGAATCTCCATCGAATTCTTAGAAAGATAGGAAAGAGATACCCAGTTGACTTAAGAAACAGAAATGCTGACATAACAATTTGAGAATAATTTTTCCCTGAAAATTCGTAGAATCCATAAGATTACGACGACGAAGAAGAAGAAGAAAAGAAGAAAGAATAGAAAAGGTAAATATAAATACAAATCATAAACGTCTGAGCTTTACTACCAAAAAAAAAACCGTCTGAGCTTATTACAGTGAGGAATATAAACAAATTGATCGAAAGCCTCTTTCGAGTTTCGATTAGCCCATCAGATGATCAGATGGGATTTTGATATGTTATTATGTTGGAATCGATTCGATTCGGTTCGTGGTTCGTCTTCGTCACACGAAACGAAGAGCCCACGATTATTACAGGTGATGCGATGCACCTAAGCCCTGCCGCGTGCCGCCAACGTGAAAACGGGCCACCGTAGATCCTCCTGGAGAAACCGCTATTTTGAAATCTTTTCCCTTCGACTCGGGATTCGACAGTTGTATGAAAAAATTATTGGATTGGAATCTTTATCGTGATTCGTGAATAAATAATTAAATGCTGATGTGGGCTTCAATGCTGAGATGTGTCCCATTGACCAGGGATCTGCTACCAATTCTGTCCCAACATGTCACTGCAGTTTTGTTTGTTTTCGATGTACGACTGCAATGGCTGGTTGGGACGTTATTAACACCGTGTATTGATAAGCTGATCCGAACTCGAAAAGGAGGCATTGATCCAATTCTAACTAACCCTTCTCAACAAAATATAAATATATTAGAACGGAACGTCTTCAAGGAGGAAGAAAGTCAAAAGGTTACATCAGAAACCGAAGCATTTTACGAGCCAAAGAGGCCAATTACATAAGAGAGAAAAAGAGTTTAGTTGAGCCTTCTTGTTTTTTTAGTTGAGCCTTCTTTGCGACCAAGTCTGCAACTCAGAATCTCACAAGAATGAATAGGTTTTCAACCCCCACCCCAAAAAAGAACCGATAAGTAAACCGCATTCAAACTCAGAAATCTGAAATTACAGTCTCCTCTTAGTCTATTAGTAGCCACCTATAACCCATATCCTATTTATGAATTTGGCATTAATTCATTTCACCTGTATTGTGGAATTAAGATTTTTAGGGGTGGACTGAACAGATAAACCCAAAAAAATCTCTCTACTAGGTTGCGTTTTTGGTAGAAAGAGCAAAACACAGAAGTTTCCTACTTTTTCTTCTTCTTTTTTTATTTTTGGGTTTAAGAAGGGAATTAATTTATTAACAAAATCAAGGCATACTGATCAGCTAAGACAATTTTTTTCTCTCTTGTAGCGTAGGTGGCGTTCAATAAATCTAAGGTTGAAGTCTGAAAATAAAAAAAAAAAATAAAAAATAAAAAACTTTCAAAAAATCTCTAAAATCATTCGGTGGAAAATTTGCTTTTATATCTGAATATAGAGGGGTTGGTCATTAATTTGCATGTTATCACATCTAATAAGTTTATGTTTTACAAATTTGCCCCTCAAAGTCATTATTTAAATAAAAGTAAATAACAATGATTGAAGTAATAGGATATTATAAAAAATATTATAAAAATAATACAAAATATAAAATATGATAATAATTAATAAATAATATCAATAAATATTAAATATTAAATATTAAAACTTATTATAAATATAATAAAAATATTAAAATAAAATAATAATGGTAATAACAATTAAATATATAAAAAAGATCATTAATAACATAGAACTAATATAAAGTAGTAAAAAATAATGTAAAATAGATTGATAAATAATAAAATAATGTGAAGAAGAAAAAATAGTAAAATTTTATTAATATAATAGTAAAAATTATCATCAAAATCATAAATAGTAAAAATAATATAAAATAAATAGTGCAAACTAAATAAAGTGGTGAAATTTTATTATAATTATAATAAAAAAGTAAAACATAAAACAATGACAGTAATAAAAAACTAAAATAATATAAAAGAGACCATAAAATAATACAAAATGGATATAAAGCATAATAAACAGATTTATAAATATTAAAATAATATAAAAAGGCAAAATAGTAAAAAATTAATATAAATAAAATAAAAATGCATTACAAGAAAAATGGCCTAAGTTGGCGGTCCTCTTGACCGCCACTATACTAATATCTAAGGTGAAGGTCTTTCTAAGACTGTTGCCTCAATTGAATTGAAGAAGTGGCGCGGCGGTCTAAGAGAATAGACACGACATTTTTACAAATAAACCGGATTTGAACCGGTATAATCTACCATAAACCAGTCTAACACAAGGACACAGGGAAGCCAAAAATACTTCTCCCGCACGCTCTCTGCTTTCTGTTCGATGAGAAACCCTTCAGATCCCAAACCATCATTCTTCTTGTCTTCTTCTCTTCGATCAGTATCTGTGGCAAGGAGAGTTGTGCCTTAACCTATGCCCTCCTTCCTCTTAATGTGCGCACTTATTCAACTCAGCAAACCCTTTGCTTCCAGTAGGGAGATGGTATGCAACAAATGAAAGTGAGAAACAGGAAACTGATGATGGTGAAAGATAGAGCATGTGGCTTGCTTGGTGAAAATGAGCACTGACACCATCTCTGACTAAGAATCCAAACCCTAACTGAGAACCAAGGTGATGCAGAGGAGAACCGTAAAACCCCCATCAGAGAGAGAGAGAGAGAGTATAGCAAGATGGACACCAACTCACCAAGCAGTGAGCAGCAGTAGCAGGGATCGAGTAGAAACCACTTCAAAACCCTAGAGCTTCCAGTGGGGAGATGGTATGCAACAAATGAAAGTGAGAAAACGGGAAACCGATGATGGTGAAAGATAGAGCATGTGGCTTGCTTGGTGAAAATGAGCACCGACACCATCTCTGACTGAGAACCCAAACCCTAACTGAGAACCAAGGTGATGCAAAAGAGAACCGTAAAACCAAGATAGAGCATGTGCTTGCTTGGTGAAAATGAGCACCGACACCATCTCTGACTAAGAATCCAAACCCAAACTCAGAACCAAGGTGATGCAAAGGAGGGTGAGGATTTGCCTTATCAACCAGGACAAGAACAAGTATAACACACCAAAATATCGATTTGTAGTAAGATTTGTATCCTTAAAGTTCTTTTTTTTTATTATGCTTAAGTCACATTTTTTAGATCTTTTTGGTTCTTAAGTCAAGAATGACTGTTGATGAGGGCGGATTTGGCCCTCCAATGATATTGTGACACATGGCACCTCATGACAATTAGGTGCACTGGGCTGCTCGCCACCAAGCAGCCCGGCACTTCATAGGCAACTCGCCACCAAGCAGTCTGGCACTTCCCAGACAACTCGCCACCAAGCAGCCCGGTACTTCATAGGCAGCTCGCCACTAGGCAATTCACCACCAAGCAGCCAGCGCACTTCCCAGACAGCTCGCCACCAAGCAGCCCTGCACTTCACAGGTAGCTCGCCACCAAGCAGCCCGACACTTCACAACCAGCTCGCCTCCTAGTTAGACCGACCACCGCATGGTAATTTCAAGGATCTCACCATCGTACCCCGCGTCTTACGGGATCATGCCTTGTAACGGCTAGTATTAGCTCACCCACTCCCCAATTCAGGCAGGAATGGGCAACCTCACCGATTGGTGGCGTTATCCCCAACTAACACGGAAACAGATCCCATCACAGCGGGGATCCAGGAACTACTCCACCAAACCAGCAAGGACTCTAGTATATCAAGACTTCACCCCCTAGGGACGAAAAAGAAGAAAAAAGGATGGGTGATCTCTACTCTCTAGCTCTCTCACAATCCAATATCATTTTCAGCTCACAACTAAGTGCTAACTTAAGCATCGGAGTGACCTCGCCGGGTAAGCCACCCCGGGTTCTCTGATTCTATTCTTGCAGGTCCATCGAGCCTGTCGTTGCTGGTAGCCAGATCATCTCCTACAGGGAGCAGCCGGATTGCGAAACATCATTTGGCACCGCCTGTGGGAAACACTACAAAAAACTAAGTTCTCATCCTCTGAAGGGCTAAATCCTCTTCTTCCAGAAAGCTAAGTTCCCGTCCTCTGAAGGGCTAAGTCCTCTTCTTCTAGAAAGCTAAGTTCTCACTTTTTAGAAAGTAAAGCTCTCGCTTTCTAGTTTTCATTTTTTATGAACTCAAAGACATTGCAGGAAGTTGATAGCTAACAGACTAAGCAGCTCTACCAACTTTATTTCTACTCGGATAAAACCTCATCAGTCCTCTTCGCAAGGTCCCCTCTACAAAGATGAGCTCTTCGTGGCTTCCGCGGGAGTTGACGGCCAACAGACTGCATGGACGCCCTTGCTGGTCGAGCCTTCCAAGGCTCCCGTGCGAGCTAGCGACCTAAAGTCAGTAGTACTGCCCGCGTTGGTCGAGCTCCTAGTAGCTTCTTGTAGGAGTGGGTGACCGGAATCATGAGGCTGATGCAGCACAATCATAGCTCTAAGGCGCCCACCCGATGGCCTGGCGCAGCTTGACGCGACCTGGCAACCTGCGCGCGGCCTGGTGTCCTGGCAGCTTGGCACCTGCGCGCGGTTTGGCGGCCTGGCCCAGGCACGAACTGGCGAACTGATAAAAGACTTCCTCACCACCTAAGACCTAGTCGCCTCTTCAGCATGGGCAAAATCAAAAATCAAGGAGAGTGGACTACGAGTCGCTCCTAGAGCCTAAGGGCTAAAGTGTCGAACTGGCAAAAACTTCGGCACCACATAAGACCCAGTCGCCTCTTCGGCATGGGCAAAATCAAAGATCTAGGAGAGTGGACTACGAGTCGCTCCCAGAGACTAAGGGCTAAAGTACCGAACTGGCAAAGACTTCGGCACCACATAAGACCCAGTCGCCTCTTCGGCATGGGCAAAATCAAAGATCAAGGAAAGTGGACTACGAGCCGCTCCCAGAGCCTAAGGGCTAAAGTGCTGAACTGGCAAAGACTTCGGCACCACATAAGACCCAGTCGCCTCTTCGGCATGGGCAAAATCAAGGGTAAGGAGAGTGGACTGCGAGTCGCTCCCAGAGCCTAAGGAATTGAATTGACTCTTACGAGCTCATCCAATTAGTCATTTCATGCCAAAAGGAGCAATCTACTCCCTTCGCCAAGTTACTTTCAGCTCGGAAGTGGGGGGCAAATGATGAGGGCGGATTTGGCCCTCCAATGATATTGTGACACATGACACCTCATGACAACTAGGTGCAGCCCGACACTTCACAGGCAGCTCGCCACCAAGCAGCTCATCACTTCCCAGACAACTCGCCACTAGGCAGCTCGCCACCAAGCAGCCCGGCACTTCCTAGACAGCTCGCCACCAAGCAGCCCGACACTTACAGGCAGCTCGCCACCAAGCAGCCCGGCACTTCATAGGCAGCTCACCACCAAGTAGC